GTCATGCAAGCAGAGGAGAGCGATAGACGCGTCGAGGCAGGACCCGCGATGCAAGGGAAGACGGAACGAGCACCAGAGCGCAGGGCGGGCGACTCCGACTCGAGCGGGCCACAGCACTCGCGTGGCTTTGTTTGGTCCATAAACAACACGTCGGGTGCCCGGACGCCTACGCCAAATTCACGATCGTACTCACTGTCGTGTCATCTGCCCCGAACTCTGAGCCCTCTCCAATATGGTGTCTGCTCTGATAACTGGCTTACAAAACTGCTAGAGCTCTCGCGTAGAGCAGAACTTCATGATCAGACTAGCACGTCCCTGCCCGGGCTCTGCCTGCGGATGGACATAGGACGAGCCGTATTCTTGAAGTTCTGCCCGGGCGCAACATTACCACCTCGAGCTCCTGGAGTCTTGCCAGTCTGTTTAGAATGGAAAGCTGTCGGCCAGGAACCTCTTCAGGTGGTATTTTTGGAAAATATCGTCTTGTAGAGTCCTTTCCACTGGTCAGTCTGATGAAGTGTGTCGGTAAGCACGGGCTCTCGTCGTTCGCTATCATCGTGGAATGCTGATCTGCTTGTTTTTGAATAGTGTAAGATATTGACGTTATCATCAAGCTCTCAATGTGTTACTCAAAGCAAGGGTTTCAGTCAGCTTTTTGCACGCCACTGATCCTAGGCGGCCGATCCTGCAAGGCGGCCATCTGCGCGCGCACCTCGACCTCAAGCTCCCCGCCGATACTCTCCTCCGCCTTCCACTCCGAGATGAGCGGCCTGCGATCTAAGTTCCTCGTTCGGCGAAAATACTTTTCTACCAGGATTTTGGGCGCTTCCCGAAGACAGACGGATTACGACTGTGAGTGCTACCTACGGCGTACACGCTGAATACGTGAAATCTGACGGCAAAGTTTAGTTTCACAAGCAGTATGCCAGTCCACCTGTCAAGCACTCGAGCGGTTCTTCGAGAACAGCCCGCTGTTCAAACAGCTGCTCATCTAGTCGCGTGTTTTGACCTCAGTCACGAGCACTCGCTCAAGCCGCAGATGTAGTACGCGAATCCGCTTCCCAGTTGTACTGAGCTGTAGAAGGAGGTCAGTATTCAAGTCGCCTACCTCCACGTCGCAGCACAGCTGACAACCCGATTTTCGTGGGCATCAGACATGGGTAAGCTTTCGTGGGCGTCAACAAGGGGTCGTCCGTGACGCCGTCCACCGGCCAGGGTTTCGATACGAGTTGCGCAGCACAACGTACGGGAAGGGACATATTTCGATGCATGCGGTACGTCTTGCCATGCTCGCCCGAATGGACCGCGCTGGCGTCTGCTCGACACGGACGGGAACAAAGTCCCTATATGTCTGTGCTCGCTGTTCGCCCAGGAAGGTGCCAACTCACTCCTGCCGTGTCAACTACGCCCGTGCACCCGCTCCCTACGGTCCGCATTATGTTTATTGAACGACCCATACGCACCCAGAAGCTTATGAGAGCGCACATATAACTTCTTTTGGGCAGGCCCTTCCATCTCCGCTCCGTTTGAGCGGCTGACCCTAGCGCACAGTCCGGCGGATCCTCATCGCTAGCGATAGGAACATCCTCGTGACGCTGCGCGATGCCGTGCAGGACGGCTCCAGGGTACGTCTGCGTCTGTGAGGCATTGCGTAGCCGCTAGGACATAGCCTTCGAGCCCAGTGGATGCGGAGAAGAAGCGCGCGTTCGCCGGGTGGCACCTGCCAGGCGCCGCCGGGCTGTGTTCGTCAACTACGTACTTGACACGTACGGTAAGAGCTCCCCGCCCGGCATCGCATTGAAGACGCACGCATTCATCGTACCCAATCAACTCGCTTGGACCACTGGCGGGCGACTCCGTGGGCCACACCGAATCAAATCTGCACGGGGAAACGTGCTCAACTACGCCGCGTTCTGTATGGCGCCCAGGACGAGCGGAGGAGCTGACATTGTCACGCTCAACGTGCACATGGCGGTGTGCGGGGAGGCGCCACGACGAGGCCGTCGACTCTACGAAAGACTAGGAGCATAACCTTGGTGTGGTTAGCTGGCGGCTCACACAGCGACAGCTAGTAGCTCTGCTAGTATTACTCGGGAGACCGGTCAGCGGCGGTTGATAGACCCATGCCCACATGCCTAAGATACTGCCGCCTTTCATTGCCAAGCACCGCCTTCAGTGCGAGCGGCGGTCCGCGTTAGCTAACAGAGAAGTACCAGGATGCAAATAGCGACGCTCCAGCGCCCCCAGGTCATTCCTGGAAGAACCCTGCCACAACGTGGGTTCTCGTACAGCCTCGGGGAACGTGAGGTGATGTCTTCTAAACCCTAATACACCTCTGCGCACCGGCCCCAAGCCGCTGGTGCCCTTTTATACCCACTCCCCCATCTGTAGACTCGC